ATATTGCTTCTTGGAGACATTTTCAGCTAGTGAAGGTAGGTAACACCTAGTTTTATTTGTTAGCGTGGCGAGCGCTACCGGTTTCCTATGTGTACGCAATATCCATTATATTGCTGCTTTCAATAGCTCTGACCGCCTGTCTCACGCACCACGTTTGCTGCATAACAAATTGATCGAGGCAGAGGTGGATCGCAAAAACTGTTCCGAAACAAAAAAAACTCGCCGCCAAGTACTCTCTTGTCAAGATTGGTGTGATAAGAATTAATGAACCTTCTTCCTCAGAGCGAACCAATTTTGAATGACAACGTGCCCTAATAAACGATATTGCTAGACAATTAAAGTGACACAAGCAGGCAGCAGGCCATAGTGAGACACACTTCGATCACACTTTTAGAGGTTTATTAGACGCATTACGACGGCCACGAGCCAAATTGTAGATGTACGACATGCAGCCAGCCAGCCACGGCAAGTCGGCAACCCTACATAAAAAGCCATGCATCTATTTTTGTGTAGCCTTTTGTTTTATTGTAAAAAATATATTTAGAAAGCTACGAGCTGGACAGAATACTTGAGTGTATAAAGAAGTAAATAAATAAATGTTGCCTTCCGTTGCCTGCTGAGTTGTATCATACGTAGCGTGGAGGTTTGTTCTAAATGTCGTTGATAGACAAGGTAGCATCGAAGAAACGGAGCCGGAATGTACCTCCGGTAGGGAACGTAGACAAAGCTGACGGTGTTTCGGTGCCTAGCGGCGCTGACGTAAAGAACTCAACAAGTGGTGAGACGGGTGATAAATCTAAGGAACCTGTAGCTGAAGGGGGAAAAGATGCAAATAAGGTAAATACATATGCTTATGAATATTACTAGTTTTTTGAGTGTGTACGTATGTGTGCCAATAGGAAGGTATGACCTCACACGTTCAAGTCGCTCGGCTTCAGAATTGCTGGGTGTAGCATCTATCATTACTGTTCTGTGGTACACTGCAGGCCCGTTTGTCCTTACTCTCTACCATCAATTAAATTTCCTAGCCAACAAATAATGTAAACTTGTTCATATG